TTCTAAATGAGAGAGTTTTCTTAAGATTCCCCTGGGCCAAAACATCTAGAAGAAATGCAGCAGCATTCAGCAACAATCTCAGGAGAATTTTTGCTTCAGAACAAGACTTTGCTGAAAAAAAACTGATCAAAAAAAGAGGGAGAGGGAAACCTGGAGGAATCCCCAGTTCTCACTATTCTAATTTCCTTAAGGACAGGAAGTTGGTCTTGCGGTTTATTTTTGTGTAGCTGAACTATGAATAACAAAAACTGCTGTGGAGAACACGAAACACACCTTAACTAGGAAACCTCTACTGGCAACGTGACACACTCAAAGAGTTCTGCGTCTAAAAATAATCAGAAAGTACAATGTCCTTGAAAAGTAACCAACGTCTTTATTATATTATGGGTAACTAGACAAAAGGTTGTATTCAGGGAAACTTATCCTTTCCATGAGGACTATAATGATAACATTTATTGACTACTTAACCAGTTACCTTTATTTATGTAAAGATATGGTGCATTTATGACACCAGTATGACACCATTTTACAGATTAGGAGAGCAAAGAGAGGTTTAGAAACTCGGTGAGGGTAACGAAACTAGGATGTGCCATGACCAGTTTGTCTGGACTTAGAGTTTGGTCACAAACCTGGTACCATACTATTATCTACATGGGACACTCATATCCAATTAGAGTTTGCTCTATTTCCCACGGAATACTAATTTTTAGAAAATTTAAAAGTCTATACATTAAAAAAATCATTCCAACTTTCCTGAGCTGCAATCCTAGCTCACTCTGGCCACCTACAGCCCCATACTTCCTTCATAAGCCTAGTAGCTTTTCCATGCACTCAAGCCCAAGGCTGAAAGGCATTAGGAAATGAAAATCCAATCAGGTTACTGCTTGACTAAAGAGCACTCTGTGTGCTTTAGGTATCAAGTCCTAGCAAGGATCTTTATAGCTTGCTCCCCACCTTTCACCTCTCTTCTAATTTCTTGCCACTTTTCCCTATGTATTTTACATTCCAGTAATGCCAGATGACCCAAAGGTCTTTGTGTCTAAGATGCTGTTTCACTCTCGTTCTCTACATCTGCTTTTACCTTTGTCTGGAACCTATCTTCCTGCTCTGGCCTGGCAACCCCTGATCACCCTTCCAGACCCTGCTTGGGGTCCAACCTCTGGAAAACCTTTCCCAGGCTTCATACCTCTCCCCTTTCAGGTAGATTTGAACATGCCCGTCTCTCTGCAGACTTCAGATCCGGTATGCATTTCTATTATTGTCCATAAACACACTCCTTTTGTGCTTGTCTCACCTGCTAGAATACACTAAACTCCTATAGGCAGGAAGATTAGTATACCCAGCACTAGTATAAGCTTGACACTATGATTGACATGGCATTTAATATAGTTGATTGTTTTTAAAGGATTATTTTTACAGCTTCACTTTCCATGTCATTTCCAAAATGCCAAACAAACAAACAAAAGTAAACCAAACATTTTATGTGATCCCATAGAACTCACTCTAAAATCATAGCCAATCTTTTCATACTAAGGAAGATCACAGTCTAAAACAGGGGTGTCCAATATTTTGGCATTCCTGGGCCACGTTGGAAGAATAATTGTCTTGGGCCACACATAAAATACAGTAACACCAATGATAGCTGATGAGCTTCAAAAAAAAAAAAAAGAATCGCAAAAAAAATCTCATAATGTTTTAAGAAAGTTCAAGAATTTGTGTTGGGCCAAGTTCAAAGCTGTCCTGTGGCCTGTGGGTTGGACAAGCTTGGTCTAAAACATGCCCAGTTATGGCTTCAGTTATGCTCTCTCTAATTCTCTACCACATTTCCACAATTTTTAGAAGATATTTTGCCTCCATTGCTGGTGATTTATTAAAAAAAAAGTCCTAAGTTTCTCAATTCTCTAAAACATTCCCTGTGTGGAAAAATGCTCAGACCCTTAAGCCAAACATTTCCCCACTTTTCAGTAGAATACAATAATTTCCTAATAGTGTTACTCTGCTTCGGATTCACAATTTATATACTTTAAAATATCACCAATAGTTTTAAAATCACAAAATACAAATCTTCCCTGACATTGGCACCAAAAGCAGTGATATGATTATGCATGTATATGTATCATTGTTTGTTTGTATATATATGTACATATATTTAATGCATTTTTGATAATTAGAAGATATAATGATATAATTATTTTTATATTTAATTCATTTTTGATAATTTATAATATATACTTAATGAATTTTTGATAATCAGAAGATATAATGATATAATTATTTTTATATTTAATGCATTTTTGATAATTTATAACATATACTTAATGAATTTTTGATAATTAGAAGATATAATGATATAATTATTTTCCACTTCTAGGTGCATCTGGAGGTAAGTATGAGATCACAACATAGAAGCTGCTGAAAGTAGAAGTCATTCCTATAGCAAGTCAGGCACACAGAGAGATGCATACTAACTGTATTTTGGCATGAGGCACGGGTGGGAATGCAGTACACTAACTGGAAAGTATTGAAGGAGTTAACAAAATGCTTCTACTTGTCGAATTTAAAAATGTAATTATAAAGGCAACGTTATAACATTTTAAAGGAAAAAAAATCACCTAATTCTGTCTTTCTTATTCATCAACCCCATTTCCTTTTTTTCTTGTTCCTTATAATCCTTGAAAGCATACATAAATTTTACACAGTCTGTATTCAATTTTATTATTGGCTATTTTTGTTGTTATACCATTTATTTAGCTAATGTCCTAGTGAGGGCCATTTGTTAACTTTCCAGTTTTTCATAAATAAATGGTTAGATAGAGGTGCATTTTTAAGAAAAAAAAATATTTATTTAAGACAAAAGCTTAAAACAAGATTTTCCTACTACTGTATATATTAAATAGATAAGAAATGGTAAAAATGCTTTCCAAAATGGTAAAAATGCTTTCCAAAACATCATACTAAATTTATAAAGTATCTTAAACTGCATCAGATTCATCCAAACTCTGGACAATTTAATATCCACCCCTTTCCAATTTAATAAATATAAAAGTCTATCTCACTGTTTTAGTGAGATTTGATATTTTTCCATGTGTTTATTTACTAGTCTAAATAAAGCTTTAAGGACCTGATAGTATCTACTGGATGAATTACATGAGTAAAATTTTTTGCTTATATTATTATATTATAATAAGTTCTATGAATTTTAGCACTAGTAATCTTTCTACCCCATATATTTTCTTTTAGAAAAACTGTTTTCAAGAGAAAATTTAAAAAAAAACTACTATTGAAAAGTTTCTCATCTGTCTCTTACAATAAAGAATAATTATATGTTTACATATTAAAATATCAGTACTTTTACTATCCCTAGACTAAACATCAATTATAAAACAAAATTTCCTCTTCATTAGAAATTAAATTATTATACTAACATATTTTTTAAAACAAGCATATGTCATGCGTTATCAATGCAGTCTCTTTTAGGGTCCTTACAGAGCTGACGGCAATTTGATTGAAAAGTGAAATGCAGGGTTTTATAGAGGGATAGAGATTAGGGTTTGGGGGAACATGTGCCAGTATGACGAGCTACTTTAGTTGTGGGGATCTGGGAAGGCCTGCTTGCCTTTTTTTAGGAAATTAGAGCCTTGTCAATACTTTTGAAGTCAGCAGTCTTAGAATCTGCCTGTTTTACTGAAACTAGCATGGTCAATTTTTAGAGCAGATAATCTTCTGTCCTTGTTCCTCAAACACAAACATTATTTATTTCTTTGTTTTCAGCAAAACCTTTTCTCAGCCCTACAGAGAGTTAACAGTTTAAGATTATGTTCTATTCCAAAAATGAAAAGTTATTTGTGTATAACTGAAAGCATATTTTAAATCTAAAAACAAGTTTTATTTCTAAGTTAGGTTCATAGGCTCGTCCCCAGGCGCTTACTTAATTGCTAATATATTTGACTGTAGTATGTTTTCAATGACTTAAAATCATTCCTCAACACCCTTTTCCAGCGGGAGACCGCACGTACTGTCCTCGTTCTGAATGCTGACAATTTATGGACCTTCCTACCCCATGGGGCTTTCTTAGCAGAGGTCCTAAAGGATATTTCAGAGGCGGAGATGGACATCTACTTCCAAACTTAGTTGCTGGAGAGACATCTAATGTGTTTGGAAAGGAAAACATTCAGGTTAGTTAGAAATATAATGTTAAATTAGAGAATTCAGGAAAATCTATATTAGTCAGCAAGACATAGAAGAAGAGCAAACAAGGAGAAATCAACTTAATATTTACACTACCACAAACACAAGAGCGTGAACCCGAATGCAGTTGGAGTCTGACTAAATGCAGCAACAGGAGTAACAAGCACTGATCTCAGTTGCCTTGGGAACAGGGCCCCTTCCTCATGCTAACAATGTATAATAAGGAAAGGGACATTTAAATAAAGTGCATAGCAATCACGGGTAGAGCAACAGGCATCTAGGGGAGTTCAGCAGTATTCGAAGGGTAGGTGGGGTCTGAGCCTTACAGCAGTGGACAGCGGATGAGTTCATGAAGTTCCAGGTATGGCTAGATAAGTCATCGACATGAGCCTGAGTGTTTGAGAACCTCTTTGGTATTGCAGAGCCTATGGAGTCCCAGTGGCTTTCTCAGAACAACCAAAATATAAACGACCAGTACATTCCTATGCTTTCCAACAATGTTGCTTGGAATGATCAGTATTCCTAATAAGAGCAGGAGCAGGCAGATAAAATAATACACTAAAAGGCAAGAGAGCTCTAAAAAGTCAGCATAAAAGAAAACACAGTAGGATGCACAGGTGCATAATGGAAATAACTTCTAAAATAAAAGTCTTTCCTTCAACAGTTCCAAATTAAAGGAAACAAAAGCTGTTGTCCCCTAGTGGGCAGAGGGTGTGGGCAATTCTTTTAAAGATGTAGATGATAGTTTGTGCATGTATTTTAAACAATATAGTACTGGAAATTTTGCTTTGTTCTAACATTTCAACACTTACCTCTAAAAGCACTAATATCCCCATAGTGTACCTGTAGTACAAAGTATTTACTTCCAGTCTCTCCGCCAACTCTGAATCCAACACCTAAAGATTTACAAAAAAGTTAATATATTAGAAATGAGCATCTTAAATGAAGTTAATCTCAAATTGTTGATCTATGAAATCCAAAGGGAAACAAAATAACATATAACATATACATTTATATTCTATCAAAACTGAAATAAACCAGGCATTGACTGAGAATTTCTAATATAATCTGTCATCATAATCGCCTCAAAACTCTGATGAAATTCTATTCATAGTTGCCACTCCAGAACCAGAGTAACCACTTACACTTTAGGAGAACAATTCATTCATTTTGAAAAAAACAGAACAAACAAAACAAAATTCTGTCTCTATCGATTATTTAAAAGACATACATAAACCCATTCTCTCATTTGTTTTGTATATATTCATATTTATTTTATTTTATGATTGAATATAGGAAATAGACTTCTTAGGAGTATTTAAGTGGCATTACTTTTCTTCTGCTGTGAAAAGAGGTATCTACAAAAATGTCATTGAGGAAACCAGTTACCAACTAGATTACTAAAGTCCATATGTCAGTGAATTTTTGGAATCCGAATATTCTTAATAGTCTTACTGTTAATAAAGCTTGCTAGTGAGCTTTAAAAATATTTCCCTACAGAGAAAATATTTACATGCAGAAGTATACATTTTTTTTAAACAAATATCCTCTACTAATGTATCTAAATCTATCAACAAATCTATGACAGACCTCTGTGTTAGTTTCAGAGTTGTTTGGTTGCAACTGTCTCGTATGGAGATAATTCTGAGGCTCATTCGAAGTGCAAGAAATCAGACATCATTTAATGATGCTGGGAAAGAGTGAGGGGGGGAAAGAGTGGTGCATGTGTATCACAAGATCATTTATGAACCAGGACAGACCTATTCTGTAACAGAACCACACATCCTTTCATATTAAGAAACATCCAGGCAATAAGAGAGAGTCTGGTAATTCACTCACTCATTGGAAACTATGTACAATCTAGAGGTGCGGTCAGAAAGCCAGCTGAGGTCTGGCAGCACATTAAATAACTAGGTTCCAGGACCATAAAAAAAAAATTTCTGCCGAAACAGCAATTTATTTAATTCCTAGCTCTCTTGGCTCATGAAATGCGTCTGCTGTCAAGAACCAATGTGCCTTAGGTCAAAGGTGGCTTGAGGTATCCTTGGTTATTTTCTAATTTTATGTAAACTGTTGGTGAGCAAACTACTTTCCAAAGAGAGGCAGACTAAAAGTAACTGCTTAAATGAAACCTTTTCAATACAAAGCAGGTAATGCAAGTACTTTACTGTGAAACGGCAATATAGAACATTGTCAACACTGGTTAGAAAAGGCTACAATAAAAAGTACTTTGGAAACAGAAATTAAGCAGCTGAACGTGAAACCATCCAAGAGGCCTGTGACGTACCTTTGGGGAGCTGGGTAGGGGGAGCATTTCTTGCCCAGGCATATAGAATATTGGCTTTATCTGTACAGGTTCCTTCATCACAAAACCTGAAGAAAATAAAAAGTGGTTATGAATGAAGATTTAAATAGTAAAATGCATAAACTCCTCCCCATGGTAGGAGGTGACGGGGGCAGGTATTTGAAAGCAAAGTACATCAATATATCATCACTGTGTGATAGTAGCTTTAAGGTCCTAATAAAGGTCAGAGTAAAGAACTATTCCTGTGTAAAAAGCACATAAAAGGGGAGACTTCTTTTGCTTGATGTGAAACAATCCTGTGAAGGAGGTATGTAATTTTTACTTTGATATGTTCATATGTGGAATGTACTCTATGTAATCAGGTAAAAAAAAACAAGCATTACATAGATGGTCTGTATAAACCAAAGCTAATGCAGCAGAAATCTGGACTAAAAAACATACGTATTTCCCTTTTGGCGAACACTGTTGTTGTCAACAAATCTGGCCATAGCAACAAATAGTGCCTACCATCAGTGGGGTGACCAATACAAGTGTGTCCCTCTTAAGAGTTCTTTTTGGTTTGTTTGTTTTTTAGAGATGGAGTTTCACTCTTTCTGCCCAGGCTGGAGTGCAATAAGGCAATCTTAGCTCACTGCAGCCTTTGCCTCCTGGGTTCAAGCGATTCTCCTGCCTCAGCCTCCCAAGTAGCTGAGATTTCAGGTGCCCGCCACCACACCGGGGTAATTTTTTGTATTTTTAGTAGAGATGGGGTTTCACCATGTTGGCCAGGCTAGTCTTGAACTCCTGATCTCAGGTGATCTGCCCGCTTGGGCTTTCCAAAGTGTTGGGATTACAAGCATGAGCCACTGCACCTGGCCTCTCAAGGGTTATTGATCTTATGCATGCATGACGTTTTGAGTTTATGAATACCAGAATGCATTAATAAGTTGTATCATATTGTGCAAGTTACTTAATCTTACCAAGCCTTAGTTTTCTCTCATGTAAAATAGGGATAATTACACTTAGATCACCGAGTTATTCTGTAAATCAAATGAGATATAAGTGAAAGCACTTTATAAACCTCAAAGTGTTATTCCAGGACAATGAATTATTTAACAAAACATTCACTTTATTTGAAGATTCACTGTTGAGAGAGTGTCACAGGGTGAAAAGAGCACCCAAGCAGAAAGACAGATCTGGGGTTCAATTCCAGAACCACCCCTTAGCAGCTCTGTATCTCGGCCATATTTGTAAGCCCTCAAAGGCCCAGTTCCTATTTGGAAACCTCTGTGATAGGGCTGTTGCAGTGATGCGTATAAGGCACTCAGTGTGGTAGCTCAGATATCTGGTAGATCCACATTAATAAATGGAAGGTGTCTGACTTGAAACCACACATTTTTCCCCATTATAATATATCTCTTAGTTCTTTTCTATTATTCAATTAGATTTAATCAAAACATTTTTAGGCTACATTTTTATGTTGCTTTTATATATTTGTGTTTTGAAAACTGGGACCAAAAAAGGTGAGTCAGGTGTGTAGGCAGATCTGAAAAGCTTGAAGACTATAAAAGACAAGGACAAATACAGCTTCTTGAGACAGAGGTTGGCTCATACAGAAAAAAATGTACACTGCCCCTGACTTGGATGAGATGTAAAGACAGACTGTGATGGCTCCATAAATAGGTTAGAAAGTGAAGCTAGAAACCCAGAAAACATCCATGTTGCACATAGGAAAACCGCTGGTAAGAAGTTCCTTCAGACTCGGAGGCAGGGACTCTTACTGTGTTTCTGCTTCTTGCCAGAAATGAGATTGGAAGATAGGCAATGAGTGCAGACAACTGTGTTATCTGTCTGAACTAAGGGATGAGGGACCCAGAACCAGGAGGTCTTGATAAGGTTATGCTTAGCAAAGTGTTCTTGCGTCTATTAATCAGGCTGTAGAAAGAGATTGTGTAATGCGTAATATAAAACACATCAACCAGTGGTTTCTTACTCTTCACTGTCAAATGCAATATACTTATGATGACGGATCATTACCATGTGAGAATTGTATGTTGGAACAAATGTCTGTGACATCCTTGTGCCAAGTTTGCTAAAAGACTCAGGATGTTGGATGGTGCCCAAAAGCAAAATTTTCCTTCCTGGCCTCATGCTATAATAGTTAAAGAAATGATATTGTCAAATGTGATGAACTTTGTATCTCACTGCTGTAAGCTACTAAAATTTAAAGATTTGGGTGGCGATTTTCAAAACTTTCAACAAAGATCATAAACATTACCAATGCCTAATGCCAATGTGATGACAGTCTTAGGTTAAACAGGGTAATTGTTTGGTCTGATATGGAAGTTGATTTTCTATGGATGACTAGAAAGAACCAGATTGAACTATAACAGAGAAAACTGGTTTAGGAACTTTTTCTAAGTTACACATTTGATTATGTAATTTGTTGGCTGAAAATTGTTCAAGTGCTTCCCAAAAATAACATGAAAATAAAATCCAAATCTTGTATCATAAAACACAAGACCTTTCATGATCTAGACATTGTCTCCAGGCAACACCCCTTTTTGAGTCCTGCCAAGTTGCTTCCAATTTCTAATCTCCCTTATTTCCATTACACTCTTTGCCTGAAATATCCCATCCCAGCTCTCTGCCTGAAAAACTTGTATTCACATTCTTCTCCAAGATTCAGTTCAAGCCTTCCTCCTCAGGGAAGTACTCTCTGACAACCCCCCACCCCCGACCAACTTCCATTCCTCATCCTAAGGCATTCCTCATCCTAAGTGTCAGCTTACTTCTCTCTCTCTACCCAGACTGAGTACTGAGTACAAGTACATAGATAATATCTTCATGCTGAAGTTGCAGCTTGAAACAAATGTTTGGTGAAACTTACCCTAGATGAGTTTTTAACTTTCCATGTACAGACACTTAAAGAACTGAATTAGCTTAAATTTTATTGCACTGTCAACTTCATGTAATCATATTTTTTGAAAAAAATTAGATTAACTTTTATAATAGAAACCAATAAATAGAAATCAATAAATACCAATTATTCTTTGCCTAGTATTTTGAATAAATCATCTTATATAAGAAAACTGACAGCAGATTGTAATTTAAAGTCGAATTAGCTCAGAGAGTTAAAGTAACTTCCAAAGGTCAAACAGCTAAACTATGGTTCAAAGCTCTGGTTGTCACAGTCCCTTCTATCTCAATTCTCGACACTGATTTATGGGCAGAGAATGATATTATGTGGAGATAAGCTTTGATTACTGCCGTTATTCCTGAACTAAGTTGCAATTTGTGCATGCAATTCTAAAATCAAATCTGAGATGAAGTTGTTTGTGACATATTCATAAAAAGACAATGATTTTATATTTTATTCTCTTATCAGGTCTGGTAAATAAGAGCTTCAAAGCAAACACACGTTTAATTTTTAAAACTCTGTTTTACAATAAAAAAATATAAGCCCAAGACATAGAGGTTGACTCACTGGAGAACACTGGGGCATTGAAACTAATCCTAAAACTCAATGGGAGGATTAAGAGGAAAAACAAGAGGCCGAGAGAAATGAGTTCTATAACTGACAACACAACAGAGTGGTAAACATTTCCATTTCCCATTTTAAATGAAGATGGCATTATATTTTCTCTATGTAAAATGACCAAAAAGAGAAAGATGGTATAGTATAATTCAGATTTCCAAAAAAAGGACCTATGAAAATAGAGGAGATTTTGACTAGTCTTACTAGTAAAAAGAGCCTTAAGGCTGGGAAGCAATGTAACTCTTGATCAATGGCTGTTGTAATTTCAGGCCTCATCAACCAGGTTTCTTTTTCTTATCATTCTAGTAGCTTCTCCTAAAGACTCCTCCAGATTAAATCGATTAAATTGTGGAAAGGTTCACATAGCTCCCTTGTGGTTTCTTAGTATTCATAGTAAAAATGATGAGAATTCGCATTTGAAAATAAAACTAGCCTGGATTCTTGGACCTTTCCTATAGAACCCTTTTCAAGTCTAATCCACGGGGAAACCATTCAGATGGCATGAATATTTTCTGACTGTGCCAAGCACTGAAAAGTGGTAGCTTGTCATTTTGAATTAACCAAGCATGACTGACTGTTAAAGTACTCTCTGGTTGTATCTGTTAAAGTCTATTTAAAATCCAAGGCTACTCAGGGAAGATCAGAACTGGTAACTCATTTCTTCTTTTGGCTAAAAATAATAATAATAATAATAATAATAAATGTCATGCCCTCAAGTTAAGTCTGTATAGCCTTAAATTCCAATTTTAATACATTACATATCTAACAGAACCACAGCAAGGAAAATTGACCTAAAGTTAGAAAATTTTTTAAAAAACACAACACAAAATCAATCACATGAGGGGATGGTCCTTACCTTTCAAAATGCATTCAGTATGAGTCAGATATTCAAATACTATTAACTGCTCTATAAACCCATAGAATATTTTCTCAAATCCAGACAATTCTATGTGAACTTCAATGCAATGGACAGACATTAACATATAGTAATTAGAAGGATACATAATGAAAGAGCAGGTAAGAATGGTGATTAAGAAATACCAGCTTGATAAATAGTATCACAGTAACTACCCACTACTCCTTTGCCTCAATAAGGTTAGACAGGCAGTAAGTCCATAAAAGCGAAGGGTGTATTTGTTTTGTTTATATGAAATTCTCAATGCCCAAGAAAGTGCTTGGCATATAGCGAATGATTAATATATACTTTATTAATAAATAAAAATAATGGCCATCCCTTCTATATGCCAGGTGCTACACTGAGCACATTACTTATATTACCTCATCTACCCTTCATGATGGCCCAATCAAGCTGCCAATGATTAGTAGCCTAATTTTACAGATGAGGAAACAGACCGATACAGGTTACATTCAATTTACTAATGTTTATTACAACTACCAGGGAGCAGAGCTGAGATCTGAAACCAGGATGTTCTGATTTCAAAGTTCCGGATCTACGCTAAATACAGCACTGCATTATAATATTGGTACTCTATTTAACATAAAGTACTAGTCTTGTGAGAAAAAATGCATTTGTTTCTATTAAAACAGCCA